TTGAGTGCTATTGCATGTAAATATGGAAGTTTAAGGGTAAAATATGAAAATAAAGGATTGTGTGGTATGCATGCCAATGCACTGAAAACAAATTGACTTCTGCAGGTGCCATTTCCGTAGACTTAGCACTGATTGTTCACCGGCAAGAAAGATGCTCCCCAGCCACACATGTCACATTCATTTTATTGCATGTTTTCAGACTAAATATAAACATAAGAAATCATATATTTCTGTACTAAATCAAAACATTTTAAAGCATTTCAAATATACTACTTTATATTTATACATTCAATTCATACTGCATTACTTCTTCAACAAATCGAAGGGCACACGAATGTGTGATACTCATCATATGAGTACTAGTAAGTTGCCGCAGCTCAACTCATTGAAAACATATTGCATGCATGATTGGAATAATTTTTCGTAGAGAGCGCTTATTCCATCAGGACACGGATGCAAATTTTTGTCCGTAGTCTAGTGGGCACTTGCAACGTGACAAGTGGTCTCCACCGTAATACACTGGCTGGGTAAGTTTTGTTAGAAGGGTGGGACTCACTTATCAGTTATCACGTGGCACATGCCCACTGGAATCCAGACACAAATTTACATCTGGCGTCCTCATGGAATAATTGTTTTGCAGAACTGTTTATATACAATGTTCAAATATATTTGTATATTTAGATGATGCGCGTAATATTCTATCTAATCATCACTTAAATTTTTGTAGTGGTCTAATTCTATGCAGGAAAAGTGGGTCTGAAAATTGTGGGAGTTGTGACTTTTGGAGATGCTACCATTTGGTGCCTAAATTCAAACTATTTCTAGATGTATTGTGTATTCATTGGCTGGCAAGGAAGTCGTGCATAAAAGGGATATTCTAAAATCTAATATCTAAAATCTGGCTCGGTTCATTATAAACATGTCTGTAGAATATCTTTAGTCGATTATAGGAAGACTTAACCTGTCTAATATCTATTAAAATGTTGCATGAAACAAAATAAATTATCAGAATATTTAAATATAATCCTCATTAAAATTACTTAAAAGTTATTTAAATTTATTTTGCAATTAGCGCAATTACAATGATTTCAAAATGATATATAAAATTATTAAATTTAATCTTAGTTTAATTTGTACGAGATAAGTTTTGACGTGTGGCACGCCATCAATGAATTGTCATCATTCGACATGTATTTTAATGCATGGTAAGGATCTCGAGGTGATTATTGGAGTAAGATATACTTAAAGTTTAATTACGAGTCATCCAGAGCTGAAACTTTAGGAAACTTATAGTGAAAGTGACCGGCTCGATGAGATGGTCCTGATGATACCAGAATTGATCTAATCTAAGTTAAATCAAGCTGAGATCAATCCATTAAACCACGTTTGGAGGAATTCTAATCATATTTAGAGGTAAATGAATGTTGTTTCTGACGAGCTGATGGTCGAATAGAGTGTCTCGACAAGACGAATCCAACAAGTATATGATCCCTCAATTCAGACATCATTAAGACACTCAAATCTCCATCAAATGTTATATGATCAAAAGAAACTCTCTGAACCATCCAATCTAAGTGGTTCATATTCATACATTAATTGCACCCAAAATTCTATAAATAGAGTCTCACCCCTCTCACGAAAAAAGAAGAGAGCTTGAGGGTCGAAAAAGAGTTTGAAGCATAGAGAAGGAGTTGAAGCCTAACATCACCTCGTAGTCGACTGCCGCTGACCGCCAGTCGCTGGCCATTGTCGACCATCATTGTCAAGCTTTTGTCGATTATCATCGACCGCCACCCACTTCTTACAATAAGTTCATATGCATGTCGACGTTGTAACTCGGGAGACATTGTAACCCTTTTCCCGTCTACGAGACAAGTGGTTATAACTACAATCATCATTTTATATTGAAACTTTTCAGTTGGGTCAGACCTTGTGATTTTTTCCTATAAAAGTTTTCCACATAAAAAACTTTGATGTCTCTACTAATTATTTATTTCATCTGAGCGCGAGCAAAATTCTTGTGCAAAACTAAGATGATAATCTATTACTCTACCACCGTGAATCTTCTAGCACCCATCAATTTGGTGTTGTCTGTGAGAAACAAGCACTTTCGACATTGTCTTCAACTCTAAGACATTAAGAGTCCGTTTGGGGCAGCTTATTTGGTGCGGTGGCGTTTTGAAAACGCACCTGACCTATTTGGAAAAATGTGTTTTGGCAGCTTATGAGTTTTCAAAACAGCGTTTTCACACCGCACCTGTCTAGGTGCGGTGGCAGCTTTCTGGCTGCGGTCTAGCTTTTCCAAAAAATAAAAATTTGTAATAGCTCTACACCTAGCTTATCAGCAGATTATTTTTAATCAGTTTATTAGCAGATTATTCAGTAAGCTGCAACTTCCCCAAACAGACCCTAAGCCACTATTTCCTTTCCCAATGATGTACATCATCCAACTGATGAAGGAACCTCCTTCGCATCTTGAAAATCATCCATGGAGCATTTTTCAATGTGGGAGGCAACATTCACTTCAATCTCGAAAGGTCATTCATGTCAACTTATCAGACACGATTATAGTGGGGTTGTCTTCTAGCTTTCTATTCAGACATAAAGTCTTTCACAACTTCTTCCAGACTGGGGCAACCTTCACTGCAGTCTCGAAAGATCATTCACATTAACGTTCCAGACATAACTGTGGTAAAGTAGTCATCTTGTATTTTATTCTGACAACAAGTCTTTGAAAATTGCTTCTATACTAGGGTCAATCTTCATCACAAATAACGATTTTTCATCTCTCCTTCACCATACAAGAGTTTCTATTCAACCATATCAAGAAGCTAATCTCTGTAAGGCTTAATACATACGTTGATTTATAGGTTTGTGTGGAAAATACTCCAGCTCGATTGGGGGGGGGGGGGGGCAAAAGATTCAAAAGTAGCAACTAAGAAGTTATCAGACATTATTCTTAAGTATGGCTGCAACAATATTTTTAATAAAACATATGGTAACCCTAGAAGTTAAGTCTAAGAGGCTAGACTCGATAAGAAGCTACTATGCCTTTGAAAGTCAAACCCAAGTGGCAAGTCTCGATAGGAAGCTACAGTACCCATGGAAGTAGAGCCCAAGAGGCAAGACTCGATGGAAAACTAATATGCCCCTAAAAGTCGAGCATATGAGGAAAGACTTGATGGGAAGATGCAGTATTATTGGTATTCGAGCCCAGGGGGCTATACTCAATGAAAAGCTACCATACCCCTCGAAGGCGAACCCAAGAGGCAATTATTGATGGGAAGCTAGAAATGGAAATGATTCTCACTAGATAGACTCCACGAGAGCAAGCAATTGACATGGTCTCCACTTAAAGGCCTCAAAAGGCTATAATCCTTAGAAGACACAAGTACATCAAAGACCTCAGAAGACTACAAACCTCAGAAAGCATAGGTACATCAAAGACCTCAAAAGGCTACAAGCCTCAAAAGACAAAGGTATAGCAAAGACCTCAGAAGGCTACAAGCCTTAGGAGACATAGGTACATCAAAGACCTCAGAAGGCTACACGCCTCACGAGACACATGTACATCAAAGACTTCATAATGCTATAAGCCTTAGTAGGCACATGTACATCAATGACCTCAAAAAGCTACAAAAGTTACAGATACTTCAAAAACCGCAGAAAGCTACAAGCCTCGAAAGGCATTAGTTCATTTCAAGCTCCTATAAAGCATAAGCCTGAGAGAACACAAGCCTCAGAAGATACTAGACAAGATGGGTACACATCTCATAAGGCACAGGTCTAAAAAGGTACATGATTTTTTTATATACATGTTGATTTTGATTGTATATTTTTACATCTTTGAGAAGACAAAAGACCTCAGGAGGCATAAACTTCAGAAAAGGTTGTCGCCAATATGCAAACCAAAAGTTGGGTAACAATACCCCTGATGTAGAAGGGGCAACTAAGGTTTCTCATGGAATTTGAATAAGGTTTCTCATTAGTGACCAAGAATTGACAATATAACAAAGCCTCGCAATCATCCTGAAGGAGCTCTCTCATGAATGAATGAGTTATCTATCGAGTTACGGTGTTTCATTCTCTGTTTGATGACCTAATATCTTTCTATTGATGGGAGCTCCTCATCCAAGGATTTGGAGTTAATATCCAAACTAAATCAACCGTTCGACAAAGTATAGATGAATGAGTCAGTCCCTCCAGCCCAAAGCTAATTAAATTCAATTGACCAGCTGCGCCGACTCAGTCACTCTGGTCTAACGGGCATTATCGAGCCAAAGTTCAAATCATGGGGCAGCTAAGCAAAAGGCTCTCATATGTAAAAAAAATCTTAAATATCATGTAATTGCTCAATTAAAATAAGACAGAATTTTCATATCACATATTGTTCTCTCTCCTCAATAAATAGGGAGATAACTTTATGAGAAGGGGCAATGTTGTGATTCATGGACAAATCACGATTGAACAAGGAGATAACCAAATCTTACACCAACTAAATTGCAAGTTTAGATTGTCAAAAACGTATGCTCTTAAAATCCTTGCTGGAAATTATTTAGCATGGTGGACGAAAAAAATATGGATACCGTTCTAGCACGTTGGAAGGACAAAAAAAGACAATAGTAAGTATCTAGAAACAAATATTATTATTATTATTATTATTTAATGATGACGAATATCAATCGTCAAAATCACTAAAGACGGCTAAAATTAACACTTTAAGAATAATTATTAATTGTTTTATCAATTAAAGCAACACTTATTTAACTATGATATTCAATATTTATTTGCATTAAGCTTGAGTACAAATTAGTCTTCCCTTTCGTAAAAATCTTGAAAGTATTGGTCAAGTTCTTCCATTCCATTCTCTCATACCCGTAAAAATCAATTTTTTGAACTATTGTCCGCAGCAAAAGCACAACAAATTTCTTCTAAGAATTACATGTTCAATAAAAAACTTATCTTTACTCGTGTATAACCTCTGTTCTTATATCCCGATTATGCCTTACTTGCGCTTCACTTTTTATCAGCCCCCCTGCCTTTCTCCGCGCGACTTTACCACCACCTTCCGTCCAAAATCCCGACTTTTTCACTTCAGCGTTCCCATTGTTCAGGAACTTTACCTCTCCCCCGCCCAAAACTTCACGTATAAAGCCACGCCCCCTTCCACCGCAGCCATCACAACACTCCCATCAATGGAGGTCGCCACGCCAATCCCAAGATCACCGGACTTCCACTTCACGAACACCACTTTCTCCCTCAAGCACCAGTACCTCTACACCAGTGCCCCGGCAAGCCCAGCCCGAGCTTCCCCCATCCGGTCTTATCCAACTCCCAACTCTCCCCACCGCAACGATGCCAGCGGGGATGTGTTCCAGTTCCCCTTTTCTCCCATCAGGTTTCACCCTCCAACTGTTCGCCGGAATTCATTCCACAAAAAATCGTCGAGACAGGGGCGAAGGAAAACAAGATCGCTTTCTCCTTTAAGAGACGAAGAGCACCTGACGAAGCCCACGAGCCCGTCGGCTAATCCCGTGAAGTGCGGGTTAAGTGGAAAGTGGCCGAAGCTGAGGGATTTGCTTCTGTTTCGGAGCGCGTCGGAAGGGCGAGTTACTGGAAGAGTAAGCAAAGATCCTCTGAAAAATTACACAGTTTTGCCCTCTGTTTCTGCGGTGAGTTGTGATGGAGCAGGGGATGATAAGAAGGCAGGAAGCAGGGGAGGAGGAGGGGTGGTTAGAAGAGTACGTCAGCCGGCTGTATCGGCACATGAGAAACTTTATAAGGCGAAACGAGCGGCGGCGGAAGAGCAGAAGAGGAAAACACCTCTGCCTTTTCAAAGGCATGGATTGCTTGGTTTGGTTGATTTCAGGCCTGTAATTGGGGGGAAGAGTAAGGTGGTCGGTACTTCCTCCGTGTCGACAGGGAGATTCTGAATCAAACACCAGACACCTTTTTATTATGTATGCTTTATCATTTCAGATGTTTAGTGATGCACAACCTTGGTGTCCAGCGCTACAAAGTTTATTTTTCTTATTAAATTTGAACCTTCTTCCTTCATGGAAGTTTGGAGTTCTAACTAGCTCTTTAGACTTTGTCTGTCATTAGAATTTCGCATGTTGTCTATAAAAGAGAAGAAAGAAAGCCCAAACTTTGGCTCAAAACTATTTCACTTTAATAGAGGAAACTTCTTACTGTTTCTCAATTTGCAATAGTTGATTTTCTGAGTGCAGTTTTTCAGATTTTAAAGCTCAGTTGTATTTAACATTTAGGATGAATGGTTGCAGCCAAGAACTAGCCCTCAATCAATTTTCTGTGAAGCTATTTTGGCTGGAGGAAGTGGATTTAACAGGGAATAATAGTTTTTGGATATGAAATATTTTACAGTGAAACTGTTTTGTATTAGTCGGGTATAGAGTTCTTGGGAAAACTTAGAATATTTTGGTTTTATATTTCAAATGCTTTAGAAATAATTGAGCAAACTTAAAACAACATAACAAGTTGAGTTGTATTGGTTGCACTCCTTATAAACATTATATTGATTTTCCTTTTGTTAAATTATTAGTACGGGAGATTTTCTAAACATAGTTTCTATAGTTTGAATCTTATGACAAATTTAGGGTCCGTTTGTGACAGTTTATTTGGCGCGGTGGAGTTTTGAAAACGCATCTGGCTTGTTTGGGTAAACTGCGTTGCGGCAGCTTATGCGCTTTGAAAAAGTTGAAACAGTGTTTTTACACCGCACCTATCTTGGTGTGTTGACAGCTTTCTGACAGCTGTTTGACTTTTCTAAAAAAAAAATTTGTAATTGCCACCGTACGTAGCTTATCAGCAAATTATTCAATAAGCTGCAACTGCCCCAAACAGACCCTTAGTGGCATTGAGAAGAAATACTTGGGCTTTAATTAAAGATTATTTTTGCTAACAATATTTTTCTATCCAAATTACACTGAAAAGATTTGAGTGACTTCAACTTTCACAAAAACTACTGATATCAAAAAGCCATGAGATGTAAGTTGTAGAAAAATCCTAGGAGAAAGATATGAATTTATCAAATAGATGGACTCTTAAATAAGGAAACCTAATTCAAGTAACATTTAAAGGTGATTCATTTAAGTACTCAAAATCTTTCTAATAAACTTTTGATTAGTATAAGTTTCTTTAGGATTAAAAGATTATAATCGTCGGTCCATGCAAATTTTAAGAGGAGGTGCTTGGGCTTGAGCATTAAGATCGAGAAATTTCCAAGAAAAAACTCAGTACTTATAAGAATAGCTAAGTAGACCAAAGAGGTAGCCTAAAGATTGAAAATTTTACCACAAAAAATAAATTTTAATGGATCTATCATCTCAAAAAATCAATCATCAAGAATCACGATTATAATAATAATACCATAGACTACAAATGATATATTGAACTATTGATCAGAGGAAAATAAGAAGATGAAGCATTATTGTTTGAGAATTCCGAAAGGACTTTCTCGACAATCTTTATTAGCCTTTTTAACTTAAAAGCTTTATATGATATTTCTCAGGTTACTATGTACATGCGACAAAAAAGGCGATTTACATGTATAGTATTAGCACGCTTCCTATAAACATTACATAACTGTTTCTTAGTATATTATTTACTAGGGTTTATATATTTGAGATCGTCATTATATGATACTCATGAATGAAATTGTTTTAGTGATATGGTCAAATATATATATATATATATATATTTAAAGAAACTTAAAATCACGTCTATTTCTTGCTATCTTAACTAATTTTAATTAATATCACTTTTTTTGTATAATTGTTCTCAACTAAAACCAATCAAAATTTAGAGATTTTCAGCAAATTGAAAAAAAAAATTAATTCTAGTACTATGATCAATAATATTCTTAATGTGTGTTGGAACATCCACAGCAGTAGAATAATGAATTATCACTTTAGCATCATACGAGACTCCAACACACACTCATATAATAAAAGAGAGATAAGCAGGAGTAGACAACTTGATTTTTACTTGGCAAACCATAGAAAGAGAAAAAACCATGGGGCCTAGCCGAGTTGAAATAATCCACCATGAATGATGAGTACACTCTTCTCCTTAATTAAGAAATATAGAGTTACAAAGTTAATCGGTGTAAATGTACAATTGTAGCATCGATAATAGTTGTAGTCTGAAAGAAGATTTTTTTTATAACATGTTCCAAGAGCCGTAGTCAATTTCTATGGAGATAGAAGTTCATCATGAATGTTGTCAATAGTATCCATATCACCAGCTTGTCATGTAAGATGTAGTTGAAAGACATGGTGGTGATTGGTCGTGTAAGCTGCAGATGGTTCCTTTAGGGGCATCGGTTGACTATAAAAGTCATAGTAGGAAGTTTTAGGAGCTTTGAGACATGTTGGTTGTAGTTGGTCACATAGGTCATAGAGGTGAGATGTGTTGATGTGTGTATATTGTGGGGATCGAAGTCGTAAAATGCATGAGTTGTGGGCCACACAGGCTTTAGTTGGTCATGTAGGCTATAATGGTGGGTTGTGATAATGTCCATAGATCACAAATGTCAAAATTCGAAGCTGCATGAGTTGTAGACCACATAGGCCCTAGTTGATCATGTTTATTATAGTGGTGGGCTACGATGACGTCCATAAGACGCAAGGATCAGAGTTGGAAGATGTACGAGTTGTGGACCACATAAATCGTAGTTAATCATTTAGTTCATAGTGTTGAGTTGTGATGGCGTCTATAGGTCACAGGGGTCGGGTTGGGAAACACATGAGTTGGGGACCATGTAGGACTTTGTTTGTCATGTCGGCTATCATGGTGAGTTGTGATGATGTTTATAGTTTGCATATGTTAGATTCAGGATGCATGAACTATGGACCATGAGGCCAGTCAGTCACATAGTTTTTAATAATGGGTTGTGATGACGTTTGTAGACTGCAGGAGCCAAAGTCGGGAAATGCGTGAGGTTAGGCAACTAGGTCGTAGTTGGACATGTAGGGCGTAACTGATCACGTGGGTCATAGTGGTGGGTGTGATAATGTTTGTAGGCAATGAGGCCAGAGTCAAGAGCTGGATGAGCTGTGGACCACTTTGGATGTAGTCAGTCACGTAGGTCATAGTAGTGGTATGTGAAAACATTCGTACACTACCAGGGTCAAAGTCGGAAGCAGCACAAGCTATGTACCATGTACATGGTAGTTGTTCATGTAGGTCGTAGTGTTGAGTTGTGAACACAATCGTAAATCGTGGGAGACAGATTTGGCAGATGCACGAGCTGTAGACCATATAGGTCGCAAACCTATGTGGATATACGATGAATATTTATAAATTATTTAATTATGACTATACTCAGATGGTATATCTAAGGAAATGGTTAGTATATGGAATTAAACCAAAATCAGTTAAAAAAATCAAACTTTTAAAAATTATAATCCAATCTAGATATAAAAAGTTGGCAAATACAGAAAGTACTTCTAATATACATGAACTAGGGATAAGACTTATTCAAAAACGACAAGTACTAAATAACAATATAACTACTATTGTTATTTTGTTGAATGTTGTAATTTAGAAAAATTCACAGCCAACCTAGAAATTCTAGGATTGACAAATAAATATAGCTCATCAGGAAATATACAAGGAGTCATACGTATCAACGAAATTATTTTAGTAGATGAAACATCTCCTTATGAGAGTGAGATAAGAATTTAATTAATGTTTTAACTTTAATTAATGTTTTAACTGAACATCAATTCATGACTACTCCCATTAATTACCCATCAATTGATACTCCTTCCTCATCCAATAATCATCCTATAAGATTGCCTTCTACATCAAATACAAATGAGGCTAGTACAAGTCAATATATAAGCTCTTATCTTCCTTACTTTCCTCCTATCATTAAATGTATTCCTACATATAGATCTAATAAAACAGAAATTAGAAATCAAGACAGTATACTTGAACCTATAAGCAAACATGATATTTATTTAAATATTAATTGTAGAAAAAATATTAATGAAATAGTTGATAAATGGGTAATAGAAAAATGTCTGACCATATATAATTATAATCTAAAAGGAGAAGATGCTTTTGGATTCTTAAAGAATACACTTACTGGATTCATCAAAAAATGGTTCATTGCACTAAAAGATGATTAAAAGAAAAATATTAGAAAAACTTGTTTAGGAGAGAGAATTATGGGCACACCTGGCAAATGGCCAATTATTTATGGAGATTATATAAAGAGAAAATTCATAGGATATAAAATTAGATATAACACTGAAGCAAAAAAACATGAACATTAATCTAATTTAGCAAAATGAAGGATAACATCACTAAGCATCTGAAATATATGCTATTTAAATGAATTTAGTTGTGATTATCAAAGATATTTTTATGACATTTCAGTCGATGACAGATTACTATATTTAGACATGTACTTTTATAAATTACCTAAACCATATAATATGATATGGAGCTAAGAATGTACAAAAATATATCAAAATGACATAACTTTAGGAAGTCGAATACGATATGCTTTAGAAAAATTAGCTAAACCATGTCAACATATAAATTTACATAAACAAAATAAACAATATAAACAATCACTATGCTGTGGAAAGTCAGACTTAGTAGCTCAACAATGGAGCTGCTCTTCTTCCCATAATAAAAAGAAAAAGTTCTTTAAGAAAATACAGAAAAAAACAATTTGATCCTAATAAACAACTTTTAGAAAAAGAATAATAATAATGATACAAATATTAAAAAAAATAAATGTTAGATTTGTGAATAGGAAGGACACTACGCAAACAAATGTTCCCAAAGAATTAAGGTAAGTCATATGAAATTCGTAGATGCTATAGACGAAATAACTTAGAACCAGTTTTTATTCTTTCTTATACAGATAGTGAAGAAGAAATGTATCAATTATCAGACACAAAAGATAGTTTAATAAATATAAGTTACTCGAATAATGAGATAGATGATTATTTATACTCTGAATAATGGAAGATAACCTTACTCAGATATAATTAATGATAATTCTAACAATTATGAAAGACATATTACATTATCTGAATAAGCTTACAATAAAACACAAAAAATAAAATTATCCTTTGGAACAAAAGACTGCTTTTGAAA